GCACCTCAAAGCAAGGCAGGGCACTGCATCTTTAGATTTTTCCAGTAACTGATGAAACAACACTACTTTTGATTTTGGTTATGGAAACAAAACCTTTAAAAGACCTGCTGATGGATTAATTTTAGTTTTCTTAGCAGAAGAATAAATTGTGTGCCCCATTTGTCAGTGGTTTGACCACTCCACCTGGCAGCTCAAACCGTGCAGGTGTCAAGGCTTTCCCTGCTTAATGGCCTAAACAGAAATAATGAAATAAAGAAATAAAAGAGGGGAGGGGGGGAATTCCTGGTACATGGCAAGCTATGAGGAGAAAGGGACTGGCAAAGCTTGACTGAAAGATGGGAGAATCACCAATTCCACAATTGTTCATTCTCCAGTCAGGCACCTGCTACTCCACATTCACTCACTCCCAGATATCCTCTGACTGTAAAGGCAGCTTCTGCAGATGTCAGGGGATGAAAAAGATACACTAAACACTACACTGAAAGAAGAAATGTCATTGCAATTGTTTATCCACTCTTCTGGTAGCAGATTGAATTTGGGAAGTACAAGACACAGGGCAAACTGGGCTTGACCAAAAGTGAGTAACAAAAATGCAGTAACCTCATAGGAAAAGGTCTGTCTCCTTTCCAAGTGGGACACAAGACCCCAAGGACCATCTCAAACATTATTGCAGAATCACCCGGCTTTAAAAGTACAACCTTTCTTATATTCTTCCCCTACCCTGTACTTCATTCAAAATAATCCAGAGTTCTCAGCCTCTCATCACAAGTACCTGCTTCTCATCTTTGCACTGCAGGAAACATCACAGGCTAAAAAACTTACTTTAGAAACAGGCTTTTAAAGAATTCCTAAGTGCAAGAACTGCATTTAAAGAAAAAGCAGAAATGAGAGGAATGTACTTGGCAGGGACACTGACCTAGCAGGAACTTCAGCTTGAACCCCAAGTTGAAGCACAAAACTATTCTTCTCTTTTGAGGGTACAATCAAACCCTTGCACATAAAGTCCCAACTATTTGAAGCTCCAGAAAGTGAAAACTTCACAGGTTTAGTGGGAGCAGACTTAAAACTTTCAAGGACCTCAAAATGACACCGTTCCTAGAGGAAATCCAGGACATGCTCAGCTCCCACGTGGGTAAGAACAGGAATGGAGGTGGAAAAGGTGTTCTGTAGTGGGCTGGAGAAAGAAAAGTGAATGCAGACATGGCCAGTTCCATCTGCTGGAGTTTCCAGCTGTTCTAACCAGAGCTTGTTGCTGAGTTTACCCCACAGCCAACCCCAAAGTCCCCCCCAAAACTGGGGGACCAGGCTGCTCAGGAGAACAGCCTCTGAATTCCCAGTCCACAATAATCCAGTGAAACCAGAGCACCTGGTAAGGGGAAGCAGGGCTCCCTGGAAGTGTCCAAGGCCAGGCTGGAGGGGGCTTGGAGCAACCTGGGATAGTGGAAGGTGTCCCTGCCCATGGATGGAGTGGGCTTCTTCACAGCCCCTTCCCACCCAAACCATTCCATGGCTCCATCATACACCATGTCCAGGTGTTCTTGCAAGTACCCACCACAGCCCAGCCCTGCTACAGGAGGGCTGGAGCTCACCCCCACAGTCCCTATGTTTATTTGAAATGATGCTCTTGCCCCCAGATAACTTCCCCAGAACAGCCTCATTGCTGCCAGAAAGTAGGTCAGTGTCATTTAAAGCCGCCTTGAAATGCATCTCCACAGAAACTTCTTAATCTTTAAAAAGAGAACGCATCAAATATTTATCGCGCCGTGCAAAACGCTGGGAGACGCTCATGGGGAGAGCTCTTGTGTGTGTGTGTGTGCTGCATGAAATGGCTTTCCATGCCTCGCTGAGCTGTGGAGCAGGGCAGCAGAGTGGCTGGCTGCAGATAAAGGCCCGTGCAGAAGTCCTTATCAGCCCAGCAAATCGCAGTACGTGACTCCCCAACTCGTTCTCCCGGTGCCGTGTGATCCCGGAGCTCTCTGCTTCCTCAGGGAGCTCCTCTCAGCCCTAATGATCCCTGCTGCAGATTGTGCCCTATCAGCCAGGCAGCTCATTCTCAAAACTTCAATATTCCTAATTATCAAACATTCAGCGCTGCAAAATGTAGCTGAAATTTGCATCTCTGTAAGAGTGGCTCTGAAAAAAGGATGGAGCATTTGCATTCAGACTGGTTAATTCCTGCAGGATAACATTTCATAAACAAAATGCTTCATTGAACATGGAGATTTTCAGCTTTTACAAAGGAAAGTGAACTTTAAACAAATACAAATCAGTTGAGTGATTAACTTTAAGTGTTTTGGTTTTTTAAAACTAATCTTTATGTATAACTAGTATCAGCAGAACAATCTTTACTGATTAAAGAAGAGAACGATAGTGAAACTCAAGCCACTGAAAATTAAGGGGGGAGGTAGAAGGCAACTGCAAGGAATCATTTAAGGTAAATAACAGAAGGGGGAAAAACCCTAAAACATTTAAAAAACCCTATAAAAACACCCCACACCTACTCCCAACCCAGTCAGCCTGGGTAAGGTGAGCACCACGGGTTATGTAAGGCAAGCCTAAATTGTGGCCAACGCGAACAGGTTAAGGAGTGAAACTAAACATGCTTTCCCCTGCCCCCCCAAGCTTTGTCATAATCCTAAATGTTATCTTAATTAGCCTAATTGTCTTAATTATACTTCGCAGCAACTTGAGCCTTCGCAGCACAATCCCAGCGTCTTTTTTTTCCAGCTTTGTTCCAGCGCTGGAAGAGGCGGCGACTCCTCTGCCAAAAGCCAAAGGCCACGTGATGCCTCCCAGGAAGTTTTCTCCCACCTGGGTATTCTTCTTCTTCTCCAAAAGCTATTTCTTATTCCCTACAGAATCTCAGCCCAAAACACAACAAAAGAAGAGGCAGTGGTGGGGGAAAGTCACAATTTTCTCAGCCAGCTGAAATCTTCTCCGTATTTTTCCACCTCGTTCTGTGAGAAGCTCTCAGTGCCCAACACTTCTCACAAAAGCTTTGCAGAGTGAAATGAAAAAATTAAAAAAAAAAAGCACAGAAAAAAACACCCAACCCAAACCACTTCCATTCATCTATGCCGCAACAATTTCATGGCACAGCTCCTAAAACATCCCATTAGTGCTGGCCTTGGAGAAGATTAGAGAAGAAAGCTTGAACCCACTGAAGCAAGGCTTAATGGGCTCTTGAGTTAAGCCAGAGCCTTCCCTTAAACAATGCCCATCATTAGAAATAATTACCTGTAGCTGTATAATCAACAGGGCTATGATAACTGACATGAGAAGTCCAGATGTCATCTTTGGCAAGGCTTGAGAAATATTTCTGCTCTTATTATACAACTGACTCTTGAAAGAGAAACGAGCAGCAAGAACACCAGGGGTGAAAAGCCACCAGAAAACACTGCAGAATTCCAACCCAACCCTTGGAAGTACAACCAGAATAAGAACCCAGCACCCCGGAAGGGCACAAGGTGGGTATCCAGCAGCATCCTGCCTTTGATTTGGCTTTTGATCAGACCACCCTTCTCAGCACCATTCCAGAAAGGGTCCTTAGAAAAACAAAGCTCAAGCTGATTTTTGGATCTACAGGAACACTGAGCCAAAGCAGCAGAAAGAGGCATGAGAAACAAGTGTTCAGTGATGAATTATGGAAGGAAGCAAGGCAAACCAGGACCAGGCTTCCACTGGCAAGAGCCCAACCAGAAAGAACATGAGCACTTCCCAAAGCTCGGGAGAGCAGCTCCTTGAGGAGCCAAGGAACACCCACGGCTGGGTTTGCCCTGCAGGTGGGTGTTTAAGGTGTCCCACCACCACAAGGAGAGCAAAGCAGGTAGCCACAGCTGCCCAGCCTCACTCCTGACTCATGGAAACACTCAAACAGCAATTATCTGTTATCTGAAGAACAGAGCTCCTGAAAAACATCACTCTGCATTCGTGTCTCCAGCAAACACCTGCATTCATACAAACACACATTTCTCAACTCCTCAGAGTACCAACACATTTCATCATCTAACACTGCTATAATATGGAAGCAGAGGCCAGGTTTGTTTTTGTCTTTTTGATCATTCTGATGATTTTAGAGACTCATAAACTCATTTCAGTTGGGAGGAGAAGGTCAGATCTCCCCCTGCTGCATGGAGACTCCAGCACCCCTATTTTTTGCAGGATTTCTTCCCCCTTAAATCTTTGGGGCTGTTCTGTGGCTTTTAGCACTTCAGCCTTAATTGTTAACCTCAACCTGATTAAACTGAAGTCACAGAGTAATCTCTCAGAGGCAGAGTGAAATAAGTCCTTCCACGTGCCTTGTTGTTGTTGGATTATTTGCTTCCCAGCAGCCAGTTCTGTACCATAAACTGAAACAGCCCAAGCACAATTAAAATTCCTCTCACAAAGCTCTAACTAACACAAAAGTTGCCCCAGACTCCCCAAAAACAAATGTGTGAGGCACTTTTAAGCTGGAAAGCAGGTAACTGAGCAGCTACAGATCCTCCTCACAGACAGAAATGCACAATTTGGTAGTGATGAATCATGCCTCAATTTACAAGACACATTAGGGATAATCCCCCAGACAGCACTGAGGTGGATCAATTGACTTTTGTTCCAGCAAAACTATTCCTTCCTGTTAAAAAGTCCAACAGGTTTCTTAAATATCAATAAAGGCAGCAGCAGAACCATGCCCATTCCTTGGAAGTACACTCCATATCATTAGGGCTCATCAGCAGGGATTTAACAAATTAAGTATCTGGTTAACGACTCAGAAAACACCTATTTTCACTGATGCAACCATTAGAAACCCAAATTTTACAACAATCAGAAGTCTGAAACAGTAAAACTTCCCTTATAACTCTTGGTAACACCAACAGCACTTTGCACCAGGTATCAGAGGGAGCAGGAGAGGGAGGGAGAAGGCCTGGATGAGCATTCCAGCACAATTAAAAGGTGTGTTCATGCACCAAACTGTGTTTTGGGGTCGCTGCTGGGACTCCAAGTGGCCTTGCCCTTACCTGGATGGCTTTGGGAGCTCATTGCTGGCAATGTCTAGTCCTTGGGAGAAGGGATTGCAGACAGATCAGCTGCCACGGGAGTAACAGCAGCTCAAAAGAGCTCCAGTGCTTCACCAATACATAGGAGTGGGAAGTGGGGATTAAATCATGGCCACCTTGTAAAATCCAGGGCACAGTGACATGCTGAGTCGTATGGGAAGTAATCCAAGAGGGTGGCAGAGTGTCTTCCAATAGCTTTTAAAATGGGAACCTGCAATTAAAGAAAAAGATGTCTGCGTTAGCAAATGAAGATTAACAGCCATTTAAATTGTACATTATATAACCTATTTATCCCTGAGATTAAACTACAATGCTATTTTAGGCATTAAGGGCTGCAGAGAGAGTCATTTTCAGAGTTGTAAACGTTACTTTGATTAATAACCATAAAGATGCAAATTAATACTTAACATTATTTTTGCAAAAAAAAACAATTAAACAACTTTCCAACGACACATTCACGTCTCAGAAACCCAAAATTCCATGTTAATTCTCATTCTCCAACAGCACCATATGAAGCCACTTCAGTCCAACAGCTTCCATATTTTAAAAGCCATATGTATGAGTGGTAACTGTACTTCACGCATCTGTTCCCCAAAGAAGTCTAAAGAAAAATTCCTCAGTGCCAAGAAGTGGTCTTGGAGCAGGAAGGAAAAAAAACCCACACAATCAATTCCACTCCCACTCTAGCCAAGCCTCCAGCAGATTACTAAGAAGCAGCTCCATACTGCCCCAGGGGGGGAAAAAATCCACCATTCCCAATTATTTGGAAGCTGTGTAGCAGAGGGAGGGAGAGAGAACAGAGGGGAAATCACCCACAGGGTCAGCAACCCCTGGCGCCAGCCCCCAAAATATGGAAATACAGAAGCAGGAGATGTCCTGGTTTGAAGAAAACTCTCCTGAGGCCCATGCTGACCTAACCAACCCTTACACCAACAGAACTTGCTCAAGTTCAGTTTTGGGGGGAGTCAGGGGGGTTTTGGCACTACACCAAGTGACATCCAGCATTCCCCATCCTTGCTAGTGCCCAAGGCCAGCTTGGTTGCACCGGCCTTGGAGAAACCAGGGATATTGGGAGGTGTCCCTGCGCATGGCAGGGGTGGAATGGGACAGGCTTTGAGGTTCCTTTCACCCAAACCATTCTGGGGTTCCTGAGCATCCCCGTTTTACAGACAGGCTGTCCCAGGGACTGTGCTGTGCCACTGCACGAGCTCCCAGCAAACAGACTGAACCCAGCTGTGCCCTCCATGCAGAGCATCCCACTGCCACAGGTGACTTCCCTTCTTTACACCACAGAACACCCCAAAACCAGCAGCCCAGCCCTCCTGGGTACCCAGGGGAGCTCCTCCTGCCCGGCCAGGCATCTCCCAGCGCTGGGGTGAGGTCACCCTGCTGGCAGCAGGCAGCTCCAGCCCTTCCCCACGCATCCAGCTGACTCTGCTCACCCCAAACTGCTCTGGCAGCAGCTGCCAAGGAGTGGTGCCCTGCAGCACTGCTGGGTGGGGCGCTGCCATGGGAGCTGCCATGGGGACTGCTGCTGCCTTGCACAAGGACCCTCTGGCCACTGTGCCACGGCATTCCAGGCACTGCTGGCTGTTCCTGGAAAAGCTCCTAGCACGCTCACATCTGAGAGTTCCTTTCCAAGAAGCAAAACCAGGTCTGAGACTTTCAGCTTCGACATAGTGGCTCAGGATGGGCTTTCTGAAGTTACTTCCCTGATGTGCAGGAAAATGCCTGCTGAACACAGTGCCTTCCTTACTGTGCTTCATTAAAAACCCCCTTTAATTGGCTGTTTCTCTGCAGCCCAAGTGTCTCAGCACCACCACTCTCCAAGTTCCTCTCTGCCCATCTTGCATTCTTAGAGACCTGGAACGCGTTCCATGTTACGCGTCAAACCCGAGAGAAAATCACTTAAATGTCATTTCCAATCCCTGCAGGTCTCTGCCATCCCCAATGTTCAAGATGTTCCAGTCCCATTAATCAGCACATCCTGTTAAACAGAGCTGGGTCAGCTTAGACCAGGCATTAGCAAGATACTAACATAATTTATTTTCATTAAAACCAGCAGGTACTGTTGGAGCATAAGCCATCTCAGCTGTAGACACGAAGGATTTGGAGTGGAGTTACCAGATCTCCCTGTCCTCATTTTCCCAGCACAAGAATGAACAGTGAAAGTTTCCCAAAGAAACTGGACTGAATGAATAGCACCAAAACCATTCTACAGCATCATCAGTTTAATCCATTCCTACTTCTGCCCCATCCCTGGAAGAGTTCAAAGCCAGGGGCTTGGATCAGCCTGGGACAGTGGGAGGTGTCCCTGCCCATGGCAGGGGGTGCAATGAGATGGGTTTTAAGGTTCCTTCCAATCACTCTGTGATTCCATAATTCCCTCCAAGACACAGCAGTCCTGTCTTAAATTACCTGCCCCAAAAGTTTAATTTTCAGGTAGCCTTTGCACTGATCTCCATGCAGACCAAAGTCAGGCCTCCACCTGCAAAAATTCTGTACATTTGTCCTTTTGCCACCATCTCAAGGAAAACACCCTTAAATTAAAAGGAGTGAAACTTCTGTCTCTCCCTGTGCCTCGGGTATCGGGAGGTCTAGAGGCTTTTCCAAGCAAATTATCTCGCTTAGGGAAAAAAAAAAATAAGATTAAAAAGAAAAACAAACCCGAGTTTGTTTAACTTGTGCTCCAGTGCCTGCCAGGACAAGGGCGATCACCTCTGTCCCGAGGAACAGCGAGTCCACGCCGAGCATCGTTCCAGAGGCACGGGCAGGGACTGGCTCGGGGCCATCTGCCACTGCCACCCCGCACACAGGAGGCACCCCTGGGCCACAGCAAAGCTCCCTGCTGCATTTTGGGGTGCACCTAAAGGTTCTGAGCTGGATTTTTGGGGTGCGCCTCAGGCTCCGGCAGCAGCGGAGATGGGCACAGCCAGGCAGAGTGTGCCATGATCCCCAGGATCACCTGCTGGCCACGGGAACTGGCCTGGCAGACAGCAAGCAGGGCCACAGGGACAGTGCCAGGGCTGGCAGGGCCACAGGGACAGTGCCAGGGCTGGCACATCCCTGGGCACTGAGCAAAGGAAGGGCTCGGGAGAGCGGCCACGGACAGGGCAGGGGTGGCACCGCAGGAAGTGCCCAGCAGAACTGGTTTGGCAAACAGCACTTAATCAGCACTGGCATCATCAAGCTTCCTGCCTTGCAGGAGAATTTTCAGAGTCTGGTCACTGCTGGATTTTTAAAAATCTCAGCAACAGGAGCACAAGGAGCCATTTAATGCCTGTTTGTTTCAGCGTGCTTCTAGCAGGGCACACCTGGGAGCACAGGCTCCCTAAAACCACGGGGGCTGGAGCATCAGCCCCTGTACCATCATAACATCCCTGGAGCAGAGGGTGGCCACGGTCTGAGAGTGCTGTCACCTCCTTGTCACAGCCCCAAACGAGCCTCTGTTCCTGCAGGACAGACTGAGGGGCAAAGCACCTCATTTCTCCCTGCTTGGGAGCCTCAGCAAACCACCAAGCCTGGCAAGGCGTCTTTCCTGGGCTTAAAGTAATTCCAGATTTTGTCTTACCCCAACAGAAAGCTTTTTTCTTTTATTTTTTTTACAGTTCTGCCCCAAGACTGATTTGTTGATAGGAGGCCTGGAGCAGCTCCCCTACAGAGAAGGCTGGGGCTGTCCAGCCTGAAGAAGAGAAGGTTGCGTGGTTGGTTACCTCAAAGCAACATTCCATCATCTGAAGGGGCTCTGAGGAAGCTGAAGAGGGACTCTGCACCAGGAACTGCAGTGAGGGGACACAGAATAATGGGTTCACACTGGAAAGAGTGGGAGTTTAGGTATTTGGAAGAATGTTTTACTATGAGGGTGGTGAGACACTGGCACAGGTTGCCCAGAGAGCTTGTGGATGCATCCCTGGCATTGTTCAATACCTGGCTGGAGCAGCCTGGGATAGTGGAAGGTGCAGGGAACAAGGTGATCTCTAAGGTCCCTTCCAAGCCCTTGTGGTTCTGTGATGCTGTGGCAGCATGAACATTCACCTTCCTCCTCCCAGCCCCTTCCAGATGTGCCTCTGTGCCATCACAAGTCCAGATGTGCAGCAACCACTAATGACAGCCACACAGAACTTTATTTACAGAGCTCCATTTTTCAGAGCTTTCACTGCTCTCCAGCCCTGATAAGAATCTTGGCCTGGGGCTGTGCTTGCAGGCTGAGTCAGCCGGGTTACTGGGGACCAGGAGCTCTGGTGCCCTGCTCTCTCTGACACAGCAGCACTGCTGCCAGCACCCCTCGGTGGAACAAAGGCATTCCACATCCTACCTCTGCTCCAGCAGCACCCAGCACCCTGGGCTTTGCTCTGCAAAAGCTCCACACCCACCACCATGGGTGCTGCACCCATGGAAGCACCACCATGGGTGGTACACCTATGGAAGCACCACCACCCCCACTCCCTTCAAAAAGGCGTCACCGTCGATCCTCCTGCCTGGCACAGATCAATTCCAACGAGATTGTTATTTTTTCCCCCAGAATTACCTTCCTAGCTGGGTTTAGAGGCAAACAGCCCTGGGTTTACACAAACACACCGAGCTGAAGGGAGGCACAGCCTCTCTCAGAGCTCGATCGATTCAAGCTCTCCTTTGACAACAGATCCTGCACTTTAACCAGAGCAGGGGAAAGCTGCCTTGGCTTCTCAGGGTTTGTTTATAAAATACTGCCACGCAGGATCCACACACGGAAAGAGCAGGGAAGGAAGAGGCTCAGAAGTGCCTGGAAACAATTCACTGTGACCACAGGGAGATTTGCTGTGTCTTTTTACAGGGTGATGGAACAGCTTGGGCTGGAAGGGACCTCCAAGCCCAGCTCACTCCCAACCCCTGGCATGGGCAGGGGCACCTTCCACCAGGCCAGGCTGCTTCATTTAGAGCAGAGCCAGTGTGGAACAGCCTCCTGAGCTCACCTCTCCTCCAGGGACCTCCATTTCCCAGCCACCACTTTGCAAGGTGACAAAAAGAGTGGCAGCAGTCCCCAGGACCCTGAGACAACATCCTCTCAACCCCTGCTTCCCCAGCAGAATACAGCTGCACTGCATCTGCCCCAGGAGAGCAGCTTGCACAAGCACTGCCCACAAGTGCTGTTTTCCCACCTCTTCCAGGAAATGTATTTGCAAACTTCAAACACCATCAGACACCGTCCCCAAAGAGTTTGGAGTATCTA